ATGTGCAAAAATGACAACTTCAAATGAAATATAATGTGTTATGTGTTTGATTGCGTCTGTCTGCGGTTCCATGAAACTATTTTCTTATCTCATCAGGTCATATTTTTGGCTTGCCAAAACATTCACAGGTTCATGCATTATGTATTTCAATTTCATAAAACAAGAATCTTTGCCGATCTGCAGATGTAAATTTGATTTACACATCCATGTTTATGTAGTGTCTAAGCAGTATGACAATGACACCAATTCTTGTAGCTGTGTTTGATCAAAACATAACCTTGGAATGAAAAGATCTATGATCAAACACCAACAAAACCTAAAAAATTTGTCCAAGATTTGTAAGCAGTGAAAACAAAAAATAAGCAAAAATGTAAAACAATAAGGTATTCAAAGGGTTAATATGTATAGATAAAATTGGTGTAGCCTTGAACACATTTACAAAAATATCTAATTAATAAATAATTAATTAGTTAAGTATGTGGTGTAATCTATGATACAGATTCTGTCATGTCATACATTACCAGTATTAGGCTTGTATGTTATCTCTACGGCTTATCCTAAGATCAGGAAAGTTAATTAGCAAAGAAGATGATTAAACGATTGGCTGACACAAAATTTGATATGACGTCCAATCAGGAAGTAAAATGGCCATCCCATTTCATTTTTTTTTATCTAGGTAATACTGGACCAATTTGAAATATGTGGTACAAAATTGGCATACATTGGGTAAACTGTTATGATAATCATGCAAGGATGCATTCAGGAAGTAGTCATCAAGTTATGCAAATCGGTTAATTAAGATGCAAGAATTTATCTGGAAATGATCAGTTGTTCATTTTTAATGGAATATCGTATCTCTATGAAAGGTCAGGAGAGAATTAGCAGGACACTACTTGCAATACTTTTCTACTGAGCTGAGTGCATCATCTCCATCAAGATTTTAACATTTTTAGTACAAAGTAAGAGAGAGACTGAGAGAATCTCCAATGACCTTCTTTTCTAGAGCAAACTATTTTGCATGCAGTGTGTGAAACATTGTTCTAATCTTCCCATTACTATTATAGGTTACCATCTAAGTCCCAATGCGTGACACGTATTTTCTTACCTTATCTCACTTAGGTCAAAGTTCAACATACAATCAACATTTAAGTTAATAGATTATATGCATATACAAAATATCATTAATGAATTATCGCATATTTTTTTTTCCCACAGTTGTTTGGTACATTGTATCATTATATTAATTTGATACCTATAGCCAGTGTGCTAATCAATAGTAGAACTATTTAAAGTCGTAAACCTAGGATGACGGTTACATTATGCGCATATCAAGTGATATCTGTAGTACACATAATACCTCTTTGTAGACAATAACCAAATTAGAGGGAGCAGTTTGAGAAAAATTGTATGAAAAAATATTCAAATGACATAATCAAAATAGGTATCTACAAAAATCTACATTGAGTTTACATGTAAATGATATTTTGAGTATCTTACACAGGGCTCAGCAAGAGATTAAAACTCATCACGTTACACTTAAAAGGTTATGTATCTAGATATCCACAATAGGACTTTTAACATTCAAGACATGTTTCCACAAGAGACAAATTCCGGCGATTTATGTTGATGTATTATAAAAGCTTTCTATTTGTTGCTGTTCTACCATTCAAATAGTGAATCTAATTTCACAGAAAAAATCTATAAAAGCAAATTACGTGGAAAAAAAAAATCACATTGTTGTATAAGTCTCCTCTAGAGACTGACAGCAACTCCTGGTTTAAAAAAAGTCAAAATCCGAGAAATTACGATTCTAGTTAATATAGATGGCTTTCATAGATCTATACACAATGCATGACATTTCTATTTTTATGATTTTTTTATGGTGAATTCATAGTGTTTGAAGACACTATTTCTCAAAATAAAACTTGAGAAATTTGTAAATGTCTTCAAGGCAGATGAAAATATTATTCACAAAAGTTGTGATAATGTTCTGGTAAGTATATTCAAATTTTGACCTTTTTTTACAAACCTATCAATATTTCATTTAATTTTACTGGATATTATACAAATCAGTAAGCTCATTTAAATGAACAGCCTGTGAGATTTTCTATCAATGCATATAGGTTGACATGCCAATACAGAATTTGCTACAGTTGTAGTTATTATATACTGGATCATTAACAGATGACTTATTTTGACAACAGACATAGTAGCTTTGAGTTTTTAATGAAATTCGTAATAGAGTAAGTATATCAGATAATTATCCAGTAAATTCACTAATCATTATGCAAAATAGATATCATGGACATTCCAGATTTTAATGAAAACCAACAAAGCATGTCTAAGATGCTTCATTTTCAAAAATAAAAACAAGATGGCTGCCCGTTAGCCATCTTTGATCAGATTATGAAACAAACTGACAGGTACCGGTATTCCAACATGTATGATGTATGTGCCAAATATGAATGAGAACTGACAAAGCATGTCCACAATACTACATTTTCAAAAACCAAGATGGTTGCCAGTCAGCCATCTCTGATCTGAACACAAAACATGGACATGTATCCTAACTTGTATAATATATGTACCAAATTTAAACAAAAAACTGACAAAAGAAGTCCAAAATACAACATTTTCACACAAAAAATGGCTGATAGTCGGCGATATTGGATTTAATCACTAAAACCACTGTAGGTGCATATGTCCCACACAAAGTACTATGCACATGTAAAGAATGAACAAATTCCGTCCAGAGGGTTCTGACAGATGGATGGAGACAAAACTATAAGTCCCTGATTTGAATGGCCACCAGTTGGCCATTTTGAACCCATCTCAAAGATAACAAGCCTATTGCATCATAGTCACATTATGTTGAATGTATGTATGAAGTTTGAACAAAGTCTGTCCATGCACGACTGAGATCCGATTTCAGAATGGTGAACATGTGTGATTTTAATACATTTTTGGCCTTAAAATGGCTGCCATTCAGCCATCTTGAATTGCATCATGAAACAAATGCATATACGTTACGATGTATGTGTGAAATTTGAACTAGATCAGTCCATGCATGGTCCAAGAAGCATCACTAAAGCTTGTTCATATGGGCAATACTTCATTACAGAAAAAAAACTGGCCCTGTCAAAAACAATGATCTAATTTGCTTGCAACCACTTATTGTGTATAATAATTACCGAGAAGTCAATAATCCTATATCAGAAAAAGAAATAAACAGTACTTTACGTCGAAATCATACAAGTAGAGTAAATGCAACTGAGATACAAATCAGTGACATTCACATCGAACAGCAGGTTTTAATCATGGTTGTCAGTACAAGATGAAAATATCACTGGGTGAAAGCACCATTTGCATAATTTGTTTGAGACTAGAGTTTGAGACTGGGGTGATAAGTAGCAATGTAGTAAATTACGTGAAATGAACATTATTAGAGATAACCTTATAATATAGCACACATGGTGCGCTGAAGAAGAATATTTGACATACGATGTCACACAAAGTACCCCATGGGACGTATGATGTCACACAAAGTGCCTCAAGGGACCTATGATGTCACACAAAGTACCTCATGGGACCTATGATGTCACAAAGTATGTCATGGATCTATGATGTCATACAAAGTACCTCATGGGACATATTATGTCATACAAAGTATGTCATGGACCTATGACATCACCCCATCACATCATGGGACCTATGATATCACATCAAGCACACCTGAATCTAGCCTATAAACGTACAAAGACGCAAGACGTACAAACTGAAGTACCCGATAGGAACATGAGACGATATATACATTACTATAGTATCCAACAAGGATAATCTTTACATTGTGAATGATGCAATGTCAGTAAACCTTAGTAGTTCATGCATAAAGAAAAAAACAATTGATGCAATTAGGTGTAATTCTACTCTCATGAAAATGTCACCACAATATCCTTGAATATCTGAAACAGTTTTGTGTGTTTACCAAATAATTTCTATAAATAGAACATGAGTGAAAAAAGAAAATCATTAATAACACAAATGAAGGCCATTGGAATAAAAATTTCTATAACAGAAACACACAAAAATCATTCAAGGTGGAGGAAGGTATTTGTCATTTAGAAATTCACAACATGTCTCTTGTTATCTAAGTGTAGTGCTCTTTATCATTAAATATATGCAATTGCGTTGTATTTCTCAACAATTCAGCGTGATCACTGAATCACCGCAATGAGATTACAGAGACAGGTATTAATTACCAAGACCCGTGATTTTTAAGAACGGTTGTTACATAGCGTAGAGTGATAGAAATAAATAACTGTGGACAGTAGA